TCCCTGCCTGTATCGGTAGAGGCAACGGGGACACAGACAAACGATGTCACTGCATTCCCCCACTGCCCCCCCCTCGTACCCTTGCTGCAGCCCGTGTCTCCTCCTCCCTGACCTACCCCATTCTGCCTCTTCCCCGTTCTGCCTCTGCCACGCCCCCATGCCTCTGCTGCTGCCCCGTTCCTCCTCTGCATCTAGTGGCTGGGAGCCATACCCAGCCTCCTATTGGACATTTTAAAATGCAGTAGCCAATAGCAGGCTGGCTATTGCACCTGCCCACTGCCTGCTGTCAATCAGCAGAGGAGGACCTGATGGAGAACATTCTCCTTCAGGTCCCTCCTCTATTGGGGGTCGCTCCCGTGATAGACTACAATTTCACTTTTAGTTTAATCATTTGTATTGAGAATCTAAAATTGAGTGATACACATACATTTTTTTGTTAATAGTTAAGGTATTTAAATGCATTTTTTTATATTTAAACTGACATTAAACCCTCAGATTTTTTAACATAAAACAATAGTGTAATGTACTTACTGTAACCCATGGTTGTTTCCCTTCTCTTTGCTGCTCTTCCTTTTAAATCTGTATCTGTTCTCATGCTCTGCAGAACTTCTGTTTGGCAGCAGACTGCCTTGTCTGAGGAATAGATACTGTGTATAGGTTTGTAACCTGAGCCAGCACTACAGGAAGAGGCCCTGAGCTGAAAAGGGAAGTTCTCCCCAAGCATGAGAAGACATGAGGATTTAAAAGGAAGAGCAGCAAAGAGAAGGGAAACAACCATGGATTACAGTAAGGCGCACATTACAGTATTGGTTTATGTTAAAAAATCTGAGGGTTTAATGTCACTTTAACTCCGGAGTTTAGTGTCACTTTATTCTGTGTAGCTGTAGGCATTGTGGAGAAATCCAAAAGAAAGGCACTGAAATCTAAGCTCTTTTCCTATAACATTCAATTGCTGCATAATCTTGGCAACCTACCAGCCCTCTATTATAGACACATAGTAGGTGTTTCTAAGTGGTTACAAGTCAACTAAAACCCCACAGAGCCTTTTTTTTGTTGATTTTTGAGGATCTGTGAGAATTATTTTTCAGCAGCGTGAGAGGTCAGGGAAGGCTTGTTTTAGAGACATTCACTGCTTGTTAAGAATGTGTAAATAATTTAACAACTTGCTGTCCAGAGCAATTTCTTACTATTTGCACACAAATGATAAAATCAGAATTTTGGCTAGAAAACAGCTTAAAACCCCCAACAATTATATATTTTCTGAAAGCAGAAGTCCTGCGGAGTAAAGAAAATGCCAGCTGCAATTTTTGATGTTGCATTTTATTTGCGCAAATGTTTATCAAACCGGTATTTTTAGGACAGAATACACTAAAATTTAGCGAACAGAAACAGAATATAATACCCAAGTTTGTGGTAAAATATTAAAGACGGGGTCACGTCAGGTAAATAGATACCAAACATGTCAAGCTTTAAAATTGTGTGCGTCCGGGAAACCGCAAAAAACTTCCCATAGGCGAAGATTTAAAAGCTTTTTGCTGCTCATTAGTTTAGTGTAAACAGTGATTGATGGCCCTAGAATTATTGGACTCACTCAGGCGTTCGCAGTGATATGTAACATGTGTGGCGCAATTTTCGTTTTTGCACGTAGGTGCATCCGACGTGTCTTTGCGTTGTATGTGGGGGACTTTTAATTTGCATTTTTAATAATTTGTATATGTTTTTTTTTTTTTTAGCCTTAACTTTATTGCTATCACATAGGGGATAATAAGCCCCCTATGTAATAGCAAATATGATGTGACAGGTCCTCTTTATGGAGACATCAGTGGTCTTTCAGACCCCTAATGTCACCTAGGGATGCCAAAGAAGCTGATGAAGCAGAGATCTGCTTCGCCAGCTTCTTCTCCTGGCTCTAAGAGTCGGATAATGTAAATAGTGACACCAGAAGTGATATAATACACATCACTTTCGGGTCCAGTGATCGGAGGAGAGATCAGCGGCTAGAAGCTTGCTGATCTCCCTCCGATCTGTCACTGTAGACCCACCGTGCCCACACGGGGGACAGCGGAGCCCAGGAAAGCCAGCGGGTGCATGGGCGGAGCACACAGCGTCGCACTGTACAAACGATCGGGCGCCGCCTGTACAGACACTGGATCACTTGCACATAAACAGCAATCACCTGCTGTTTGAAACAATACCAAGAACACAGCTGCAGCAGCAGCCGTGTTCTTGGTATAACCACTTCAAACGGATGATGTGTATTTACTGTATGTGAACCCGTCTGAAGTGGGTAAAATTAAATTCTGGGAACAAAAATGTTTTATCCTTGCAGTGGGTTCTTTCCCAACTGCAAAGAGTAACTGCTTGTTTTGCCAAGGGTCAACATGCTTTACATAGTTCACATTCACATCAGTCCCTGCCCTCAAGGAGCTTACAATCTAAAGTCCCTATCTCACATGCATACACACTTGGGCCAATCGAGACAGGAACCAATTGACCTACCAGTATGTCTTGTAATGTACTGCACGTCATGCATATCACTGCCATCAGCACAGGGTATATTTATAGAACTAGGAAACTCATTCTGCATACATTATATGTGTACAATATTTGGTGACCGTTTTACTATACACAGCTACATAGTATAGCATACAACACGGGTCATATGGGGTACTTTGGATGGGTTCAGTGAGTACTTCTGCATGTTATTATAAAGTCATCATAACAACTTAGTAATTGAGAGATGTTTTATTTATGACTTATGATTTGCTAAATCCCTATATTTTTTTAAAATTTAAACTATATTGGATTCAGAAAACATATACAGCCAGTTAAGTGGACCCTCGATATAACTAAACATAGTTACATAGTATTTGAGGTTGAATAAAGACATTAGTCCATCAAGTCCAACCTATTAGGATCTCATTCTAGGAGTACCCGTACCCCTGTATATTACGGTCCCTTAAGAAATCGTCCAAAAGTTTCTTGAACAATTCCACATTATTTGCTGAAATCACCGCCTGTGGCAGTGAGTTCCAGACCCTAACTGATCTTACTGTGAAGAACCCCTTTCGCCCCTTGTGCTGGAATTTTTTTTCCACCAATTTTAGGTGATGGCCTCTAGTTTTTGTAACGGAGTTAATTTTAAACAGTTTATCGCTAATGTTGCTACCACCATTAAACATTTTGTACATGGAAATCATATCCCCCCTTAATCTCCTCACCTCTAATGTGAACATGTTTAAATTTAGTAGCCTCGTCTCGTAGCTCTGGTCCTCCATACCCTATAAACCTATACTGAAATATTGAAGCTCCTATTGATGACCTTGTGATTTCTGACTGCCTCTGGTTTATGACTCGCCACAAGTATCCAGATTAGAAAGCCAGAGCAAAGTCAAAAACTCCTGATCTGCATTACTGGTCCAGGTCAGTGAGTCAGGAAGTACTGAAAGCCCTGTATCAGCATGACAACCAGGCAACTAACATTTTTAAAAGAAGCAAGCATTGTCAACCTACATATTTCCTGGAACACAGGTTTCCTTTGAAGTGTATCCATCCTCAAAAAACTTTTTTAGTTTTGGGTAGAATGGGGAAAAGTTCAAACCCCTTTCAGGTATAACTGCTATCCGGGGGCTCTATTAGAGAAATTTCCCCTCATTTCCTGTCCCGGACACCCTTCCAGCCCTATAAATCAGAGAGGAATTGAGGGAAAGTATGCAAGAGGGAAACAATAAAAAACCAACAGAGGTTCTAGCATGCCCTAATTAACTTAAAATAGCCTTTTTACTTTTGTGTAGGGATGCACCGATAGTCGTACTCGCCCAAATGCTCCGATACTTACCCCTGATACTGGAACTTCCGGACAGAGGGAGATTTCCTCTGACCGGCAGTGCCACATGGGAACATGGAGCCGACTTCCCGGCCAATCAGGAAGCTGACTAGCCGCCCAGCTTCCTGATTGGCCGGGAAGCTGGCTCTATGCTGTTTGGCCTTCTCAATGCCGATTGGTAGGTGAAGCCTGCTTCCGGGCTAATCGGCATCGAGCCGGCTAAACAGCATGGAGACGGAATCTCGGTCAATCCAGCTCCATGCTGATTGGCTGGGAAGCAGGCTTCCCGGTCAGCTTCAGCATCATGCAGGCCAAACTGCATGGAGTCGGCTTCCCCGGCAATCAAGAAGCCGGGCGGCAGGTAATGACACAACGCCCGCTTCCTGATCGCCTGAGAAGCCGGCTTCATGCTAGCAGCAGTACCCTTATCGGTACTCGGTATCGGCAAGTAGCGATAAATAAGCGATAAATAAGTATTGTACTTGTACTCGATAACGGAAAAAAACGGTATCGGTGCAGCCCTACCTTTATGTTGTGTTGCTCTTAAACTGGCCACACCATGCAGTCTAAATGTACAATATCTGTACAATCAACTTTAGATTTACCAAAACTATGTAATGTTAAGGACAAACCTAAACAATCCACTGAATTTGAATCACGTCATGCAGGCCCTTGCTGATGGTAGATCTAAAGGAGATTGTATAGATTGTATAGTATATGGTCAGCTTTAGGTTTACCATACATGATACAATCTCTGAACAGTTAGCCTAACATTTACCAAAACTATATAATATGAGGACCTCATCCATACAATCAATTTATATACAATCAGGCAAGCTCTTGCACTACATAGCTGTTGGTAGATCTAAATGAGATTGTACAATGAGATTGTAACATTTGTGGTGAGTTTAAGAGGTATTTCCTCTCGCTTACAACCTTTTTACCAGACAGAAAGTGAAGGAATCTCTCCAATGGAGCCTCAAACTACAGTAAAACCTGACAGGTGTTCTAATCCTCTCCCACCCTATCCAGAAGGAGAATGTACATTTTGGGTATAGATACACTCTACCATTACTGGACGTACTCAGCAAACGGCGGTTTCTACAAGGGGTACATACTAATATAAAGTTGAGAAACACAAGCACATAGCATACTATATTGATAATGTACTTACTCAGCATAGCCTGTGCCCCAGTACAGCTCGTCAGGCGATTTCAGACTCAGAACGATCCTGCTATTGTGGTCACCGAATTTGTGGCTCTCCTCCGGAGTCAACTTCAAGAATGGAGGTCTGCAGGGGGGCTGAGGTTTTGCAATAGCGACCACGGGGGGCTCCTTCTCGGGGGTACAGGGGCCGGGCAGAGCCCCGTGCTTGTTGGACAGTGACCCCACCAGCCCTGATACAGCCGCTTTGACCTTACTGATCATCACCGTGCAGTAAGAGTGGAGACGGATTGCTGGTGGCTGAATGGGACATGCAGATGTGCTCTGGGAACACTCTGGACAGCCAGACTGGGATAGATGGCAGCCAGGCACAGGTGTACAGCTAGTCTATAATAGGTCCCCTACAGAAGAAGGCTGCCAGCACAGATCACAGTGTTAATTCTCACAAGTCACGCTGGTTATCTTTTGTCCTTCCGCAATGCTCCAACACTGGTGGACTGCACACCCTATATCAGTCATACTGAGCCTGGTAAAACTCCTCCTCTGTCCGCTGCTGTCAGCTCCAGGGCTGTTCCTCTGTGTACTCTCAGCTCCTGCAAAGTCAATGAAAGGATAGGAGAAAGCTGATCATTACAGTACAAGATGGGGGAGGAAACTGAAACAAAACAATCCATTTTAGATTGTAAGCTCTCACAAGCAGGGTCCTTCTAACCCTTTATATCAAGTTAAATTTGAACTGGACTGTCTCCCTTTACTTTAGAAAGCACTGCACAAGCTGTTGGTGCTATTTAAATCCTGTATTAGTCCCCATTCACACTTGCGAATGGCACCCATCTCATGAGTCTCACAAATTCCTCCTGGTTCACACCTAAGCAATTTAACGCACGGATTTAGATGCACGATATCACTTCAAATACTGATTCGCATTCAAATCAATGTGGCTGTTCACACCTTTGTGTTGCATCGCCCGGGGCGAAATCGGGAAAAGGTGCTGGAGCTATACTTGGGTGGTTATCGCACGGTTTTGGTCCCATAGACATCTCTATGCATTGAAAACCGCGCAAAAACCAAAATGTGCAAAATGTGCAAAAAAAAAAATGCGTGAAAACAGTTCAATCGCCTAGGTGTGAACCAGGCGTGACGCAGCTGTTTGCTTGTAATCCCACAGGATTCCATTACCTATGGATAGCCTCACCTGGATGCAGACCTTTTGCGTCCAGGTGCCATCATTTGCAGGTAATAAAAGTATTTGATCCACACAGGAACCCCCCAAAAAATGTGAGTGCTCGTATGACTCGCTGAAAGTTTAGGAACTGTAAGAGATCCCTTCATCAGGCAAACACCTTGACCACTGTCTGCCAAACACAGTGGTCAAAGTGTTTGCCTGATGAAGCTGTCATTGTATTGTACAGCACCTCCTGCCCGCATCAGATCGCATGAGCCTCATGGAGCAATTTGTGAGATTCATGATATGGGCCCCATTCGCAGAAGTGAATGGGACCTAGTAATAATAATCACATGTAAAAATGCAGCATGCAGTCTATATGTTAAAATGTCCACGTGGGAAGC